ATGTTCTCAGACAGACAGAAGGGTGTCGCCTTGACCATTGTAGAATCGGAGGGATGAAACCCTCTTTAATGGTCACACATGCAGAGCACACAGCACACACAGTGAAATGTGGCCTCTGCATTTAACCCATCCTAGCAGTAGGCAGCTATTGTACTGTACCCGGGGAGCAATGGGAGTGGGGGGGGAAGGGGGATGTCCGGTGCCTTGCTCAAGGCCACCACGTAGCAGTCCACTCTCCATATTTAGGTGTGGTCGGGGACTTGAACCGGCGACCCTACGGCTCACAGTCCAAGCCCCTACTGACTGAGCCACCGCCGGACATCAGATCTCTGCATTTGACCCATAGTGTTAGGAGCAGTGAGCAGCCGTTAGGTCGGCGCTCGGGGAGCAGTGTAGGGACAGCGTCTTGCTCAGGGGCACCTCGGTAGTCACTTGGTCGTTCCGAGACTCTAACCGGTAACCTTCCGGTTCGGCCGAGTCCCTACGGACTGAGCCACCACCGCCCTATTGTCAGGCAAATATCAGAATCAGAAACAGGTGTATTACCAGGTAGGTTTATACGTACGAGGAATTTGACTCCAATATCATATGGATCTTAGGTTTGTAATTAGCATGTATGCAAGTTTCGCCCGTCTGGCCAACATTTCAATGGCCTGTGATGTAATTTCCCTAGCTGAGACCTCCCCCCTGTTGTCTTTTTCCTGTATAAAGTGCTTGTTTTTCTGTTGTAACAGGGTCAGATCCTGGTGTTTTCTACTAGTGCAGGACCTCTGGCCTTTCCAGCTGGAAATAACATTGATTCTGTTGTTCTGCTATAACTCTTTATTAAATAACACAACTTTGGTTTAAGCTTGTATATTTGCTCTTTTCTTACCAGAAGGTGATTAAGTGTGGAATTTCCACCACATTTAGGATAACATAAGAGAAGTGTTCTTTAGTTGTAGTGCCAATATGGTAAATATGCAAAAACAAAATATAACCTAAGGTATCAAAAAGGTGCAAATTCAAAATATATTTGATGCCAAAGTCAAACACAGTAGCCTACATATAAATGCTTAACAGTAAGGTGCAAATCTTAAAAGTATACAGCATGGGGTTATGTTTGATCAAGACAATAAAAACAGTCTATATTGAAACCAAAAAGACCAATCTGAATAAATGGACATAGCCATGACAAGAAATCCAATACAACTCGGCTTTTTATTCCTTCCTGCTTTTTTCGTGTATCGGTATCTAATTATAAAACATCAAAACATACAACTGACTGATCTGCTCTGTTCATCTTGACTAGACAATAATTGTGATGAAAACTGACATTATGAAATAATCTAATCAAGCAATATAAAGATGTCACTTTTGGCTCTCAGTTGTTTGGTATTAGTCCCTCCTTTTAATCACCGAAGGGAATATAAAGATTAAACAATAATACTGGGAGTCCAAATAGTTGTAAGTAAAAAAAAAAAACGAACGGGGTTTGACCATGTTTTGCATTCATTTCCTCATGTGTTTAATCACTTAGTTTTGGTCCTTGATATAAATAGTGCCTCACTTCCTGTTTGCTGGCTGCTGTTGGCTAACTTGACTCAGCAGCAGCAGGGGTGTGTCCACAGTGCAGCAGAGAGGAGATGAAGGGAACCTACATCAGCAAACACACTCACTTCCTCCATCAACCCACAGCTGTCTACAGCAGTGTACTGTTAATCTACACTTATCTAAAATATGAAGGTAATATTTTATATATAATACATCGTGGTTTCCCTCTGCAACTAGTCAAGTTGCAGTTTACATCCATGTCGGTTCAACATGTCATCACTCCATAATTGTATCCTTTTTTAAACAATTGTATGAAATTATCATAAGTGTAATAATTCTAGAGTTTTTCCCAAAAATTGGTTTTGTGAGGTCGCAGTGACCTCGACCTTTGACCCCCGAAATCATATCCTGTCATCTTTGAGTTCAAGTGAGCCAAATTTAAAGAACCCTCAAACCATTCCTGTTGTACTGTATTACGTCCTTGAGAATGGGATGCATGTACAAACATCCAGAAAACAATACGCATAAATAAAGCTCAACACAACTACACAAAGCCTAATCAAATGTGTTCGTATATTAAAAAAAATAACACAACATATTAAAGCTTTTTTTGTAAAATCAGGACATAATTTATTTATTAACATTAACAAAATAGTCTTGAACAAATTGAAAGTTCCATATGAGCCAATCTCCATTTATTAAAAAGATAACATGAATTTGCATCAAACATGCCTGACTTGAGTTTGGACAGCCCCCACAGAACTGTAGCTATCATGCAACGTCACTCTGACTCAGTTTAACTCAAGAGGAAGCGCTAAAGTGCTAAAACATTCAGAGGTATACGGAAGAATTAAGTAATAAGGTACAAACTTCATGCAATGACAAAGCAAAGCAACAAATTCAAACAAGGATTTAGATATTTTTTATTCAGCCAGCAGCAAGAACACAAAAATACTTCTATAGCAAAAAAGGCACAAAAGACGGACTGAAGTTGACATACAGTCCTATTCAATAGCAAACCACAGCATTGCTGATTCTGAGATGTGAGACTGAGGAAAAGCAGCACTGTCTGTGTGTCCCTGCCTCTTCCCTCCTGTTTTACATTACATTATTATTACATGATGTCACTTGTTAGACGCTTTTATCCTGCTGACAGGCGAGTGGATGAACAGAGATGTTTACTGCTCCTTCTTGTCTCCCAGTTTCTCCTGGTGTTTGTTGAACTGGCTGTCCGTCATCAGCAGCTTGTCCCACCAGGTGAAGGTGGAGGCGTAGTTCCCAACGAAGTTCATGTGGTGGAAGTCGTGGAAGCGGGTGCCGGCGTAGAACGGGATCAGATGGAGTGGGTTCATAGGGATGTCATAACCACTGAGAGAGAGAACGATAAAAAAGGGAATTAATGTCTGTCTGCTATTTATTCATAAAAAAATAACATTTTGTTCTTTCTTAGATTTAATAGGTCCATATTTTCTATTTAAAGCATTCTTCGAACAAGCTTTTCAAATGAGACGCACATTTGGAAATTATCAATAATTATGTTTGTGTTTGTCCTGATTACGTGGTGCATATAGTTTGATTCTGTTTTCATGTTGCTGCGTAATGGTTGAATATGAAAAGATGGCTAGTTTTTCTATTGCACTGCACATTTTCTCATTAAAAAAACAATATTTGTGTTTCTCTTGTATTAAACACTGTTGCACTATTGGCTAAATAAAATATTTTATGTAAAGATGAAAGAAAACCTGACTTTTGTCACAAGCATTGTTTTATTTTAGATGGTATATTCTTTTTTAAAGGATTACAAATTACATTTGTTTGTAGTTTATTAAGGCAAGTCTGCAGGATAAAAGTCAGTACTTAGTACTTAAAAATGTAGGAAGATATAATGTATTTTAATAATAACTACCTAAAGGGGTTCTTTGTGATCTGATAACATCTGGGCTGCAGTCGAATAATCCAAAAATCAGCTCCTAAATTCTAACCCTATCGTCTATTCCTTGAACGTCACGGGGTTAAGGAATAGTGGATAGGAGAATTCAAAAGGATTTAGGAGAAGAGACTGCGAGAATCTGGCCGTTTCTCAATCGCGAGGAAACTGGCTTCCAAGCCAATATTTCAAGGATACTACGTCATCGAGTGCCGCCGAAGGACTGTTCCAACCTCCAGCATACTTGGAATTCCACCGAGGCCTCGAAATTACCCCCAAACCAAGGACGCGGGTCCTTGGTTTGGGGGTAATTTCGTTCGAGGCTGCACATGGGTAGACTTCGCGTCTTTCAAATCCCCACAATGCTTTGCGCACGGACCAATTTCCCCAAATCTGTGGCGGAAAATGTAAGGCGGGGCCTCTCATATGACGCACACCTGCACACTTGCTAGCCTGTTCCACTCTTTGTTTTCCGAATGCCAGGAAGGATTCTTGCCTAGCTTCTGAAGGAAGTGACTCGGAAGACATGTGCTACTAAGCAAGTATCCTCGCGATTGAGAAACGGGGTGTTTCTCAATCGCGAGGATGCTGGCTTGGTAGTCGCGTACTTCCTAGTCACTTCCTTCAGAAACGAAAGCAAGTATGCTTCCAAGCCACGGCTTCGGATAACGAAGAAGAATGGAACAGGCTAACAAGTGTGCCACTCTCTCTAACGGTTTCAACATAAACTGTACCGGAAATAAATACCTCACGATGTCTATCTAATTATGAACTTGCTTTACTTTCACGGAACACATTTTTGATGATAACAAACAAATGTAACAAAGTAACATATTTACCAACACATGTTCTACGCCACTACATACTTACATTTAAATGTGTGCTGCGTCGGTTCAGCCATTCTCCGCAAGGGTTTTTGAAATTGGTCCGTGCGCAAAGCATTGTGGGGATTTTAAGAACGCGAAGTCTACCCATGTGCAGCCTCGAAATTTCCCCCAAACCAAGGACGTGGCCTCGGTGGAATTCCAAGTATGCTGGAGATTGGAACAGTCCTTCGGTGGCACTCGATGACGTAGCATCCTTGAAATATTGGCTTGGAAGCCAGAATCCTCGAGATTGAGAAACGGCCACGGCCTCCGACTGCACTTTCACTATCTGACGTGTTTATGATGCGCCAGCGGACGTCATGAATGTGCGTCTGCTGCTGCTGTGGGGAAACTATGGAAACCACAGTTTTCTATACAGCGGACTACAACATGGATGTTTAATAAGAACGAGGGACTACTGTAAACTCATCTAGAGACTCTGCACCGTGCTCTGATGCTGCTGCTTTATGCTTTATGAACGTGGACAACAGAGAAACATATTCTTCATGACCAAAGTTGGAATTGAAATAAAAAAGGAAAGTGAAACTTCTGCTCGTCACCCTCTCCCTCCGGT